TTCTTCAGATCTCCTGCCGCCGCGTCGGACGGTACCGGGTGCCGCCGCATCGCCGCATCGTCCTCCACCTCGATCGTCAAGATGCCTTTGGCTTCGTCAAGCCATACTTTGTGCGTGCGCTGCACCACACGACCACGCGAGGCCTTCGCCGCGCCGCCGCAAGCCTCCCAGTGGGGGCGCAGTGGATACGTCGGCATCTCCATCGCACCACCACCAACACCGCCACCGCTGCTGCCGCCGTGGTGGGTGGGCGGCGGCACCGCCTGCACATCCATCTCCTCACCCGTCGCGATGGACACAAGAATATGGTGCCACGGGCAGCGCAGGCAGGCGACGGAGGCGGCGGTGTGCGCGTCCTCGACGTCGAGGAGCTCACCTTCACCCAGCGGTCCCGAGGCGTGGTAGCACGGGCTGTCGATGGCGTACAGCGCCCCGTTGTGCAGCAGGACCGTGATGAAGCGGTAGGGATCCTCTAAGAGGAAGTGCGCGCGATTCCGCTGCTGGCGGAGGCGCTCATACGACCAACCGTCATACTTGTGCTGTTTCGTCATTCTTCCACCGCCTCGCAGCAGCCGCAGCACAGCAGAGGAGTGAGCAAAAGAACAAGAGCAACGAGCGCGTATATATGTATGCGCATAAGCCCTCACACAGGCAGATATATATATATATATATATAGAAAGTATGTGTGTGTGAGAGAGAGAGAGGAGGAAAAACAACAAAGAACCGGCATTCATTGCGTTCTCCCTTATCACCTCTCCGCGCGGCTCAGAGCCATGGCTTTTTTTTTTTCATGGGGCATATACTTTCGGTCGGAGGCAGTACCAAGTTCCCACGGTGCTGCAGCTGTTCACATGTCCTTTCCAGTTTATCGGGGACATTACGCACATCGAGAAGGCATTGTCTCCGTTCCCAGTGGTACTGCTGGTGTTGTCAGTGCTGTTGTTGTTGTCCTCCTCCTCCTCCTTGGTGTCATCATTATCGTCGAAGAGAACGGTGAGGTAGACAGTTGGAGAAGGGGATAAATAGTCCCGGCGGACGCTCCTTCCCCTCCTCCTCCTCCCCCCCACGCCCAGTGAAACGTACGCCACAACGCCGCGCAACTCCACCGTGGAACTCGCCTCTGCTCCTGTGTG